CCCTTTTAAAGCTGAATTGAATGGTGGTGGGTTTTTTAAAATCCAATGTGTGGATCACATAATATTTCAAAAATTTTGACTTTTGAGTATAGATGATCTGCACTGTACCATTTCAGTATTAACACCGGGTGTGGTAATTTGTATTGTACGATTTTTTTTTAATATCGCCTGATCTAAAATTTCAATGGTATGATTTAAAAAAATACTATTATAGTGAATCATAAAGACTGACACCAGGAAATCATTTTCCTGAATATAGAGAAAATAGGATTGTAATGAGTATTGTAAATATCAAAAGGCAGGAAGAAGGAATAAATGCTACAATGATAATCGTTCACATGTATCTTGTACTCTATGTGATGTTGCTTTATGTTTAAGAAATTGTTTTGTTGAATATCACAGTAATAATAATTAATTTATTCATTTTGTAATATTTAAAGGATTTTGCCCAAATTGGGTACAAATTAAAGTAAAAATTTGTATTCTAAACTGTTTTTTCTCCCCAAGTAACCTTGTTTATTACAAGTATCTTCGCATACTTTGCAGTTTAGACCAGACATCCCAAGATAACAACTTTAAAAAGGATTTTTTTGAATACATGTTTTTCCGCATTATTTATTTTCCGAGGAAAAAAAAAAAAGGTAATTTTCCGTTTGGTGGGGTCTGCACTAACTCGAAAGTCTACGCCAAATTTGGCGTAAATTTAAGGATAGTATAGTAATAATAGTAATTGAATATTAAAAGTTATTGGGCAAACAATATTATTAAGCCATTTTTGGTTGCTTTGTTATTTTAGGTACAAAATGACGTCAATATGATTGATATACTATTTATACATTTCTATAAGATATAATTAAATCATATAATTAAACTTAATAAACGGTGACGTTTGAAAGAATAGCTTAATAGCGATTGCCCGATAACATCGATATTGGGCGTGCGATGGACAATTTCAGTGACATCCAGGACGTCATGATATTGGCCGTTGCGTGCCCAATATCTTATACATATTATTTGGTAAATAAAAAAAAAAGTTTATTAATATATTAAAAAAAAAAAGAAAATCTCTGGTTATTACTAATAAATAACACATAACACTTCTATGTTTATTAACGAATGCCTAATTCTCTTGTTAAAATAAATATTTTTCGTGTTTTGTGTTCCAAAATTATTATCAATTATTTTTTAAAAAATGAAAGGGCAAGTTTATTAGAGTGATGTCAGAAACCATTAGTTCCAAGCTTAAAAATAAAAATAAATTTTTTTCAGAAAAAAAAAGAAGCAAATTTACGAAACTTTCTACAGATGATTTAACTATTATTAACGTTTGAAGGTATTTTGATTCAATTAGATCTTTCTAATAATTACACACAAATGTATTATTATTATAGATCAAATATGGGACCTTTTCCAGCAAAAACAGTCTTCAAGGTCATCTGACCAAATTTGTTTTTTTTTACACGGGTGAAAATATTGGACCCTCTTTGTTTGTAGGAAAATGGTTTTTTTTGAGTTTTGTATCGTATAATCACTTTTGATCTAATCTATAAAATTGTTTACTGGAAAAGGTCACATATTATGATTTGTAAGATGATTCAAGTCTTGAAGACTTTATTACTAATGAAAACACTCAGAATATTTAAATAACAATAATAAAGGAAGCGACACTACTATCGCATCTTCTTCAACTACTCCTACCTCTTCTTAACTAATAGCACTAATCAGATAACCAAAAGTTTAGTTGATACAGAGTGCGAAGAATCAATTATAATGAAGCATAAACCCAAATCTAAACCATCCTTTGGTTAGGTATTGTGCAAAGTTCCACAACATAGCAAATAGTAGAATACCAAATTGAATTGTCTGTTTAAATATTAAAAGACCTCGAATCAAAAATTGAAATATTTTATTTTAAACAAAATTTGCAAGACTTTAATGTCTGATATGGGGGAGGGGTCAAGCGCACTATCAACCAATAATTACGTCATATCCACCACTTCCCTTGACGTAGAATGTGCACAAGTTAATGTATTAAAAAACATATTAATATGAACATATTAATTTGCAAATTATGCATATACGTAAAATATATTCGTGTCGTTTCCCGGTTCAAATTGTAGTTGTGGCGCAGGAAAATTGGGTGAAAAAATCCAATAAATCTTTTGGTATGTCGATCGTTAATTTTCAAAAAAATTAATGTTTACATCACATAATCAATTAAAGAGGAAAATCGGAAAAGCAGGAACAAGCAGGCATGTAAATTTTGTTTCTACAAAAAGAAAACTTTACATTTACAATGATCTGCATTTATAATAATACAGACCTGATTATCTACAAGAACTTGTTAACGAATATCAAGATACAAAAGATCAAGGTAAACAAACTTGATAGGACAATTGTTATAATAAAGAAAATTAAATATTAATGATTATGTGATGATGATGATTTTCTAGAGTCAAAATATCAAGTTCTTGCGAACTTAGCGAATTTTGCTTATGATCCAATTAATTATGATTGGCTTTTTGAATTGAATATTGTTGATTTGTTCATTGGTAATTGTTTGATTATTTATAATATTTATTGATATATTAATTAATATTGTGGATATTTCAATATTTAATAATAATGATGGTTTTATTGTTTAGATGCTTTGACTGAAAATGATGAGAAATTAAAAGAGTTTGGTATTGGAGGATTATGTAATTTATGTTTAGGTAATTAATTAAGTAGTATAAATAATAATGATCAACTAACCATTAAATAACCATTATCGCTTAACTAATTAATAATAACTAATTTGATTTGATAAGAACAAAGAAATAAAGAATATATTATAAATAATGAAGGAATACCATTGATAATAGATTGTCTAAACAGTAATAATGAGGATATTTTAACAGCTGCAATAACGATTCTAATATTTTTATTGACACCACCAACACTTGAAATTGCAAAAACATGTAAGTAATTAATATAATAAAATGAATATAATATAATTCACACGGCCTCATTTAATCCTGATTATTTATATTATTTATAGCAATCTTAACTCGATCTGTTAAGAAAAAAATCGAAGAATTATCAAAATCAGAGAATAATATTAGTAGTAGTAATAATAATGGCGGCATTTCTAGTAGCAATAGCATTAAGAATTTATCAATAATATTTTTAAATGATTACTTTAATAAAGATCTTGTGAATTTAGACAAATAACAATAAAAAATGATAATATTAAAATGTATCAAAAATAATACTATTATAACAAATCAATTTTTTTATTTGTGTACTAACAATAAATGAATTAAATGAAAAATCATGCCTGAATTTGTAAATCCAAAAATAAAAGAAAGATATAAATAAAGATGATAGAATAAAATCATATAGTAGACTTGTAATAAATGAAATAACGAATACTAAAAATATAAAAAAAAATGATTTTTACTACGGACACATAAATTAAGGCTACACAAGTAAATATAATTTTTTTATTCAATAGTAGTAATAATAAATTTTTCACGATAGGTAATCCGTAAAGATCAAAGACAAAAACAATAACGGTGGAAGGTACTAATAACAATATGTCACAGCTACCTGAAGGTGATGAAGGTAACGACTAGTAACTTTAATTTATTATTATTATATATTTAATTATGGTATTAATTAATAAATAATCAATCATAAAGAGGAGGAATATTTTGAACAAATGGAGCAAATGGAACAAATGGAACAAATGGAACAAATGGTTATGGATGAATATGATGATGGACAAATGATAATAGATGGAGGCTCATCGTACCAACCTCAATCAGAGTTTATAAAAGAAAGTGGCAGAGATAATGAAGTAGGTGGTGGAGATTATAGAGATAGAGATAGAGAAAAAGAAAGAAGTGGCGATGAAAGAGAGAGCAGTAGAGGGAGAGGGGACAAAGGTGGTGGAAGTAGCCATCCTCATCATAACCGACAACAAGGCGATGGTAGTGGTATTGTTGATAGTAGTGGCATATACGATGAAAATTTCTTTCCTAGCCCAACACATCCACATCACCACCATAAAGGTGGACATCATAGACAACAACAACAAATTGACAAATTAGTGGATCAAGAGTTTTTTAACGGTAAAGAAAACTTTAATTACTCATATTAAAAGACATATTTTTATTAAAAAAAATTTTTTTAATAATTAGATTTTCCTGATGATTTTGATGATGAAGATTTAAGTTAAATGTTAGTGCGTTGGTCTACAATATGAATATATATAACAATTTTTTTTTGCTTTTTTAATGATTCCAACAGTTATTTGTTTTTCTTTGGAAAATCAAATTATACATATTTAATGATGTTTATCAAATATAAATTAACTTTTTTTTTTGCATTTCTGCCATCAATATTTAATAATAATAATAATAATAATAGTAGTAGTAATTATTATTGTTGTAATTATATAAGTATTATTAAAGCATTGTTAAAGTATCTTAATCCTCACTCAATGTCCAAATTGCAAATAATTGATAGTTTTGGATATACTCTTAACAAACGATCTTTTGTTATAGCCTTTTGCTAAAACTCTTTGTTTAATAGTCTAATAACCAATTGATAATTCACCTTCGCCATAATTATCCTCTCCTCGTCTCCACAATTTTTACAGTTGTTCTCTAATTAGAACCTATCAAGACTATCATTGATTCTTTAATACAAACATTAGTCTCGATGCTTCTACCAACATCATCTTGATCAACTCTTATCTCAGCCTTAGACACGCACTCGTAAAAGCAAAATCTTTTTTCACTCGATCATTCGAGCCCTTGAATGATTACTAAACGAATTAACATACAGAATTAATACATAATATAAAAAGCTACTGATTATAACGTGTGAAATTCTAGGATTGTAACAAACTGGAATTGATGTACGTGCATGCATTCGAAGTTGTTCTGATACCAACTTACATAATATATTGATTGTTTGCTAACGAATTCAACAATACTAAAGTTTAATATGAAAGGATTCCACAATTGATTTCTTTTATATGCCAAAATAGAAGATAAGCGATGCCTTTCAGCTTTTGAAACAAATTAGGGTCCTAAATACGATTCCTCTATATACACACACACTATTACGATTTCTAAATTTAAAACGAATGATATAATTATCACGTGACCATTACAGATATAATTATATATATAAATGTGTAACAATATAACAAGAATTTGATGAAAGAAAGCTTGGCGCAAACTATATTTATTTTTATTTTTTTAATTGCCCCACAATTTAAGGTGATTGTATTGTTCCGTAATAGTAAACATTTGCGAACAAGATCCGAGAAGAGAAAGATTTTTTTCTGTAGAGAACGATCGTGGTTGTTTATTTATTCGCTCATTGATCAACAACAACAATAATAAATGTGTTTTAATTAAAATATAATTCGTTAATAGTTTTTATAACTTAACAAATTTAGTAATTTTATTTATTGAATGAGTTGGAATAAATCCTTCTTTCACACTAAAAGATTTCAAGTACCCACGATCTTTAATTGGTACCGTCATCTTTATTATTAAAAACAAAATTGGAAACAAAAAAACTTGTTTTTTCCCTAATAATACACAAACAATATTTACTGCATTGCATACATAACTAAATGCGGTACGTGAGTAAAGAGAATTCGACAATTGGATATTGTGATCCTGCGAAATTAATCGTATGTTGTTTTAAATTAAAAGTGTGTCAAAAACAGTTTTTGTGTTTTAATTAAGGCCTTTTTTTACATTATATAACTAAACATGGAAAATTTGATAAACAAAATAATTAAATTCATATTTTGTTCTAGAGCGAATCAAATAAAAATTTTTTTTAAAAATCAAGTTTTTTCCTAAAACAATTATAAATTTTCCGATAATAGCGCACTGGTCCGTCCAATTACAATCACACACAGTATGTCACTGCCGGATAAGTACCACCCCAAAAATTAAAAATATTCTAATTAAATTAAAAATTCTTTATTTACAAATTACAAATTCAAGATTTTTAACAAACAAAAACAATTCAATCATCATATATTACTAATATTTGATTTATTATAACGACAAGGAGGAGGAATAGAAGGTGGTTATGGTAGTTGCAGTTGCAGTGGTGTCATGTTTTAATTAATTTAAAAGAAAATTTTTATATTTAAAATTTTTATGCAACCTTTCATCACAGCTAACTGTTATATAAGAAGATTTAAACCATTCTGAGATGAATTCGTCCAAAAATTGGTGTCGGTTACCCTTAAAAATCACTAGTAATCACAAGCTAATGGGGTGACTTTTTTTAAAGTCTAGCTGTTGTGTAATCACCTTAGTATGCATATGGGAAGGAAGGGTTTTAAAGATGTAGTTTCATCTTCATTTTCTTCCGAAAATGATGATATAGCTTCTTCAGCTTCATCTTATATTTATTTAAAATGGACATATAAAAAAAATGCTTGACAGCGATTAATATTGATATTTAAGTGAAAATTATACAAATAAAGAAAATTAAAGACCACGATCCCAAATAGGTTCTTGTAGTATTAAAGAAGTAATTATAATTCAAATATTACTGCAAGAAAGAAAATTTAGATCTAAAAAGACAAGTTTCGTTACATGTCCCAGATCCACATGAAAATTTGTAACAATGTCATCGAAAATGATTATGCGAAAACTACCATGTTGCAAGAAACAATGATCTTGAAAAAATCCAATCTAACAAATTCTGGTTATCCTGGACCTTTAGATCTATGTAACCTGAGCCCATAATATACTTTAAAGTATATTACAAGAGCCACTCGCAACGTTGGAGCTTACACCTTACACCCAGACATCTTATTTACGCAGAACTTCTTAATTTGTGTAATAAAAAATTGCGATACAAAATTCTTTTTTAAAAATCACGCCCGCTTGTTTAAAATATATATTTCGGATGATCTGATCTTCCTAATTATATTTTCCCACGAAACTTAAACGTCATCGTCCATTTTTTTTCCATAAATTTTTCTTTATTGGTATATTATTTATATTGTTTTAATTTCATGCAAAATAATTTATTTTTAGATTATTTTAATTTAATAAAATAAAATATTTAGAAAAGCAATTTTAATAATAAATAGTTAAAAATTTTCTTATATAAACCCCAAATAATTTTTTTCTTTTTTTTTATTAAAAAAAAATTCCATATTTTTATTTACACGAATCAACAAATCAACAAATCAAATAATCAAATAATATAATAAAAATAAAATAAATTATTACAAAACAATATTTTTTTTACACTTCTAATAAAAATCAAACAAAATGTATTCAACAAATTTTGAACATAACGAAACTGCCTACGGTTATAATTTAAGAGGTTTCCAAGCCTTTGTACCAAATGCTTTTGGCTCCGATCCAGGTAAATACATTATGTTATATTATATGTATTGCTTCTGTATTATTACATAATATATTAATTAAATGTTATTTATTATTATTAGTACAAATGGAACATTATTACAAGGAAATGTATGAATATGGCCCAGATCCAAGATTTCCAATTTCTCCAGCAGCGATTGCAGGTGCTGCCGCATTTAAAGTAAGTCTTTTCTTTCTCTTTTACTATTTACTATCCTTCTATCTTTCTTCCACTAATTGTAATTATAACTCGATTATAATAAATAGGCTGTAAGAGCATTCGATTCAAAAACTCCATATAATAAAAACCATGAACAATTAATTCATTATATACGCGGAAAAGCTGTGCAAGAAACACAATATTTATTACAAAGGTTTCCGTTGCCACCAGATGTTGATCCAATAACAATAATTGTATCAGCAGAAGCTGCTGCTCATCGTCTATACGATTGTGAAAACATTAATTAAAATTATTTTTTTTAGACAATTGGTGGTGTATTATTTTTTTAATTTTAATTTTTTTTTAATAGACAAAATTATTGGTTTTTTACTTTACATTAAAATTATTATAATTGCAAAACATATTTGTAAATATAAATATTCAAAAATTAATTATTAATTAATAACCAAATAAAAATTGAAATTTGTGTTTCACAAATAATTTTTGGTGATACAAAATTACGTTTTTAATTTAACACCAGAATACAATTTATTTTGTGAAGATTATGAACAAAATAATTTAGTAACCAATGTAATTATGATTTGTCATAAAAACAACAGAAGATTCACAAAATTGCTTTGGCTTTTAAAAATTTTTTTGAAAGATATTTTGAATCTAAAAGTTTAGATAAAAAGAAAAAGATCTTTCCATCAAACACAATTGATGATTTTTCAACATGAGACTGGAAATTCAATTATTAATTACAAATATAAATACCAACCAACTATTACAATGGGTGTACTAAGGTCATTTTAAAAACAAATGGTTCAAAAAAACATTCTTCAACTATATAGTTCTTTATTTTTTTACACTATACAAAGTCTGCTGATGGGGGCTAATGAGGACAAATATAGTATGATTAAAATTTTTCGATAGCACATTCTATTTGTATTATGCTTCTAAATTATTTATTCTAACATGGGGCATGGGCAATAGAAAGGGGGTCAACGTCAAAAATCATATTTTTGATGATACTGTCACCGATTAAATTTTGGAAGAGCGTATTTTTTTAATTGGTGATAACGATTATTTTTATTTTTGTGTGGATCAGAATGAATACGGTTCAACGAATTGATTTTGGATTAGCGAATAATTTTGGTTAAAGAAGGTAAAAATGTTAAATAAAATATTTCTATTTTATTTATTTAGTCGAAACTAATTAACTTATAACAAAGTTACTTTTACATTAGGTCGAAATCAAGTTCTTTACATATTAGCCCGAATTGGGCGATTCCGCCCAGTCTGGGATAATCTTCATTAATATCTACTAAACAAAGTTAAATAAATATGAATGTGCTACGGGTTAATTAATAAAAATTAAATGGACGTAACACGAATTCAGATGATAATAATTATACACGTTATCAGTGTTGGGAAAATGGCTGGAACTGGAACACTGAAACAAATTTTCCAGTTCCAGTTCCAGTGTTCTAGTGAATTTTTTCTGGAACACCAATGGAACACTGGAACCACTGGAACCACTGGAACCAATGGAACCAATAGATTTTATTTTTTTTTGTTAATGAAAAACCAAATTAATTTTAACTTTAATTATTTTATAAATTTCTAATATTGTATTTTCTGAAAGTAATGATATGAACCCATTTGGGATTTTGATCCAAGTTTAAAATAATCTTGCTAATTTCCATTTGGCCTCTTATTAGCAGTTGGATGCACCTATGTTTTAACAGAATTTTTAATTCTTCTGGATCATCATCCAAATCACTTTCATCATTAGTATCATTAAAAAGTCCCATCATACAGTGCTTCAATTCATTGTTTGATGATGAACTGATGGATGACCTTGATTCATTATATACTGTATATTTGGATTTATATGTGAAATATCAATGAATTAGAACTTTCAGATGGAGATGTAATAGATGAATTATCATAATTATTGTCCAATTCTGTTGTAAGATCATAAACAAACATAATAAAATATTATTAATTATTGCAATTAATCCAATGATAATATAAAATACATACAATCGGGACCCAGACACTTTACTGACACCTACTTTACCAACATGTATATGATGATATTTTTATTAAATATCACATAAAATATTTCATCTATCTTGTCTTCTGTTACAGGCGTTAAATTGACATCAGGTAAATTTATCCATTCTCGTAAATCTTCAGTATTGTCATCTGAAGGAATAAAAGAACAAATTTTTTTCTGAATTTTTTCTTGTTCAATAAATTTGTTTCTTATAACTGCAAAAAAATTAAAGATTTTTGTATAGCACATGATAGCTTCAAAAGAAAAAGGAATTACACACACACAAAGCTAATTCTATTTCTAAATACTTTTTTTTATCAATAAGTGATATAAAAAATAATGTTAATCAATCTCCGATTGCTTGAATACTATATGTCCTCACTTGTTTAGCATCATCAATTGAACAATCAAAGTTATTTGAAAGTATTCTGCATAAATTACAAACAGCCATCACAAGTAATTTTTTGACATCCCTGATGGTGTGTTTTTTGTCATGTTTATAAGGTGACCCAGACACTTCCACATATAAAATTTCCATTGCATCTATTAATCTCAAAACTAGCAAATCAGTTTTTTGAGGTCTCATCATCAGGAAGATTTCCCTATGTCCATAAATTTTAATATGTAAAGTTGTAATATTTGCATAAAAAATTATGTAATATTTACACTCAATGTAATAATTGCATAATTTTTGTATGCTTATTTGCATAATATTACGGGGCCCACCATAAACTTACGTAAATAGTGTAATAATTACATAAATCCATGTCAGAAAAAATTTCCTGATGATATCAATCATGTTGCTTGCATTTTTTAATGATTTGACATCCTTTTCAATTCACTCATATTTCACATCAGGAAATGCATTTCTGAATGCACAAAGAATTGGTGAAAGGCATTCAACAATGTACAATCTTTCAGACATATCTCTAACCAGAACCCTAGGTGATAGATACTTGAACATTGCAACAAAATCTACTAAGGTGTGCCTTATAAAAAAAAGGAATCTAGATTCTTCACTTGTTTTGTAATTCTTTTCACCTGTTGTCTCCATAATTATTCTCATAATCATATCTGAATAATCTGTTTGAAAGATTACACTAAGTTTTTTAGTTATTGAACTATTTAAAACCATTTTGTTTCTCATCCTGAGAAGATTTTTGATTTTTTCATATAAAGTTTTATCTGTTGTTTCCTTGACAAAACAGATCATTGCATTGAAAGCACAAATTATATGTGTTGAAAATTTATTATAAGTTGTTCTTGTTATAATTGGTTTGTTTGGTGATATAATTAAAGGATTCTGAGGGGATAGCATCCATTCATGTTTGATACTTGACGAATTTAAAAATAATGAAAATAATGAGAATTTAATAATTTTTGATTATGCAAACTGGTAAAAAGAATAATTACATCTGAATCAGAGGTCTCTGCATAATTAAATATTTCTTGTTTCCTAAGATTATAATTTCTTGTGTGGTTTTTCTAAGAATAGACATAAAAAACCAACATATTCCAGGTTAGAAAAGTATTTTTGGATGTATAATTAATCATTTATGGAAACCTACCCATCTTGTTTCTCTGAATTTTGATGTATATTAAAAGCTTCTGTTTCACTTTCTTTTACATCAACTTTATAAATATTTCCCCTAAAAAAAACAATAATGCAGTATTGGTACTTGAATAAATGTGGTGCTTAATCCTTGAATTGAACTGACATCATTTTTTTATATACAAATTAAGGATTCCCATCTTTAATTCTGATGATTTTACTAGATTATTTTGGATAATCATTCTGGCATCTTAGTCACAACTAAAGCATCCCCAATCACAATCAGAGATGTAGGTGATTGAACACAGGTCGCAACCCCATCCAAAAAGGCCATTGCCCCTTCAGACCCATTCACTGCCAATCAAGAAGGTTAACTAGTATTGAACTAAGTGAGTCACTAGCCCATTTAATCAATTCTGTGGACGCTTTTTCATAGCTAATAATATTTGTGAGGCTACGAACATATTGATTGAGTTCTTCACATCTGTTGGCATTGAAATCAGTACAATGTTGTCAAAATAGCAAAAAATGCTATTTCAGAATCCAACTGTCCCAGGTATAATAAAATATTATGTGAACTTATATAAAAAAATATATTGAATCTTTGCAAATCTAAAGAAGTAAACAAACAATACTGTAAAGAAAAAACCACTCTCATAGAGAGGTATATCTAATATTTCGAGGTTATTATGTGTTGTAGTCAATCCAGCTATATTTAAATTTATATTTGAACTAAGAAATTTTTATAAGTCTTTTAAAAGGTATAATCCAAAATTTTTTTTGGGAGTGAAATTCTTTTTAATTGGGTAATTTCATTATATAGGTGTCAATCACTTTGACAATTAGATGTCTGTGTTAATGTGATGGCCTGCTATTCCAGAGCCCTCTTTGAATCTTTGAATTCCTAAAATTTTTTTGTTCGGCATGCCCCATTTGGTAAATCTGGTATATCATCTCCTAAACAATATTTTTAACCAATCATCTTTTGAGTCGCATTAATATATTGATTGCAACACAAAAAGATCTACTAAATAAAAAAAAAAACTTGCCAACCATCAAAAAAGCCCCTTTTACAAATTTTAAATTTTGTTATTTTGAATCTCATTAAATATAAATTCTTGTTTAAAATAAAATTGAATAAAAAAAAAGATGGCAAGAGTATTTATAGATGCACGTTGTCATCATTGTGGTTCTATTGGACATAAAAAATTTGATTGTACAGAACGATGTCGAGTTGGTTGTAAATGGTGCGAGAATCCTCCAACTCGTAGACCACCAGGTGTTGCATCTCAACGAAACAATGCTAATTTTTCTGGTAATGCTATATCTTTAATTTAATTATTTAATTTATAATATATATAATGATTACAATGCATGCATAATTAATATATATTTGTTTAATATAGTCGCAAATAAAGAACCAATTTCTATTACTACAAGCAGTTTACCATCTGCTTCAGGTACTATTCAATTGACAGGGAATAGTATGTCAGTTACAAGATCACAAAACATTGCACCTAATAATACGGCAACGCTTTTAACTACATCTTTAAGTTCTTTAATGCCTCAACAGTTGGGTGCAGCTAATTGGAATCTCATTCCACATCATCAACAACAACAACAACAGCAACAGCAACAACAACAACAACAGCAACCGCCGCCACCGCCACCACCGCAAACTAATCAACCTTTAATTTTTAATACTAATAATCTTCTGCCACAATCTCAATTTATTTTTCAACCAAATGCTAATAATAATAATAATAGTAGTAATAATAACAATAGTAACAGCAATAATAATAATTTGAATTTATTTTCAAATAATAATCCTCATTTTATGAACACTGCTAGTCAACAAGCAACCGGTGCTGTTACAACGTCTGCCACATCGCCAACTACAACATCTATTATTCAATTATTTAATAATAATTGGAATAATAATAATAATACAACTACCACTTCACAACAACAACAACAGCAGCAGCAGCAGCAGCAGCAGCAACCATCAAATATAATAACTTTTCCAGGTATTAATCAATCTGATCAAATTATCTTTTAATTACCGTTATCATCATCCTCACAAAAATTAATGATAAAATTTGTTGAACTAAAAACAAAATAGTTATTGGTTCAACATTTGCTTCTGCTAATAATAATAATAATAATAATTCACAGGCTATAATACCACCACCACCACCAATCACACTTCCATCACAACAACTTCCACTCCCATCGAATCAAGGTGTCAATAAAATATTTAGTACAAAGTCTACTTCCAACACAGTGATAAATCTGCCGTCGTTGTCGTCGTTGTCATCGTCATCATCATCGTTGATGGATATTAATAACAATATTAATTTGACGAACGATAAACAACCTAATACTTCTCTAGCTCAAGAAGGATTAGGAAGTTCAAGACTTCCGTTCCAAGAAAACCAAATTACTAATCAATTAATAGGAGTTGGAGGAGGAGAAAGAAAACCTGGTGAAACATCTACTGAAATAATTAACCAATTAGAAAAAATTAAAAGCCAAGTGGAATCGAATCAACATCCCAAAATTAAACCAAACAATAACAACAGCAGCAACAACAACAATAATAATTTATGGACCAATGATTCCTTGACCATTGGTGGTAATAATAATAATATTAATGCTTTTTACAATTATAATAATAATAATAGTAGTAGTAGTAATAACCACAATAATAATGGTAATGTTATTATTAACGGAATTCAAAGCAACCCATCACAATTTGAACCTGGAAAAATTTTTACAATTAATCCACCAAATGGAAATCATAATAACACAATAATATCGAAAGAAAATAATAATGATGATAATAATAATAATGACAATAATGACAATAATGAAAATGAAAGCAATAATAATAATAATAACAATCGTTTTATAAAAATCGAGGCAAATAATAATAATATGGATAATAGTATGAATAATATTAATAATAATGGGTTTGTTTCTAATATTAAAAAACTTTCATCGTCATCATCATCATCGTCGTCGTCGTCGTCATCATCGTCATCATCGTTAGAAAATATTAAAAAATTTAATTCTTCGAACATCATCTCACCTAAAGATTCTTCTTCTAACCATCATTTATTAAGAATAAACAGTAGCAGGTCGTCACCTTTAGGATATAGGAATGGAACTGAGAAATTTACTATGAACACAGATTATTATAGAACAGGAGCAGGAGTAGGAGGAAATAATAATAATAATAGCAGTAATAATAATAATAATAATCATAATAATAATCATAATAATAATAATAATAATGATCGGATACAACCACCACCATCACCGTATATTATAAACCATCACCATCATCAAAGATCTAATAGAGCTAGGTCAGCTAGTCCTAGAAAAGATAATAATAACAATAGTTTTGAGTATTCTACTAGTCGTGGTGGTGGAGGATATTATCGTGAAGAGGCAAAATCGACTTCCCCCAATAGGTATTATTACAATAATCGTTCTGTTGCAACAGCGACAGCAGATTATGATGAACGTTATCATGCAAGACATCCAGAACAAGATTTTCGTAGCAATGAAAAATATTATAATAATAATGATGATAATAATAATAATAATAATAATAATAATAAATATTACCCAGTCCGGTCTGTTTCTGTTGCTCCTCCCTATGAAGAATATTATCCTAGATACAATAACGTTAATATTAATAGCAGTAGTGGCAGTGGTAGTAGTAGCAATAATAACACATATCGAGAGTATGATAGTAGAGAACAAATATTGAGTAGAACTGCCAGATCGCATTCCCCATCATTATTGTATAATAGTAATTCAAGGTCTATAAATTATGAAGAAGACTATTATGGATATCGATTAAGCGAAACTAATAATAATAATAATTGGTATAGAGACAATAATAATGATCGTGAATATCATAATTTAAGACAAGGGACATATTACGATGATAATAGGTATAATAATAATAAACAAAGAGACCGAGTTTATACTGATCGTTCAGAAGGATATCTTGAAAGGGATTATAATAGACCTGAATATGACTATTCATTGCGTAGACGGCAATGGTAAAAAAATTTTTTCTTTAATAACAATAATGAGTTTTCTTCTTATTATATAAAAATGTATAATATATATATAAAATAATATTTATAATAAAAAATATAAAATGTAAAATCTTTATGATATCGCTCTACACGAGCCGAGCCCAGGTTAATACTTCAACCTATAATTTATAAGCCAAATTTTTCTCTCTGGCAAGGGTTTAAAAATTAAAAATGGGCATACTCCAAAGTTTGGTTATAAATTAGAGAGTAATTTGATTATATTTATTTTTATAGCAAAAGATGTATAAACACTTACAAATTGTTTCTTAATTTGTTCATATGATTTTCACTGATAAAATTCACACCATTAACATCATTTCTTTTTGAATTTGACTTATCCGAAATTTCTTTCCATTCATCATTTGAAGAATTATTTCTAAGCCATGGGTAAGGATTTGATGTGTCAACAATTGAAAAAACTATTGGATCATCATAGTTCAAGTGATCTGATGCATATCTGTCTATTATGTGGTTTAATGTAAGTTGCAGTACCATTTGTTGTTGGGTTGCAGCCAATGATGATTACACTGATTTAGACCATTTTTTATTGAGAGAATATTTTTCTTTGAAGGAGCTATGGCCAAGATGACACCTTTTCAGCATGAAATAATAAAAATAATGAACAAATCAATTAAGGATACCGGCTGCAACTTTTGATGATGGTTGCTACCACCTTTGCGTCATATAAAAATGATTGATCAACCACTGGTTGCAACCACCTTTACAACCATTTTGTTTCCTTTTTTGGATTGCGACATGGAACACTAAAATCAATTGATTTTATAATCAGATTAAATATACAACCATCAAATGGATCAATATTTACATCAAGCACCATTATAACAATGTTACTTTTTGAAATTTTTTCACTTAGTAATAACAATACAAGCCCGACCCCACGTGGTGGTCCGCTTCCGCATATACTTGTCCGATAAAACAATTTCATATTGCCCTCCGAGCAATTGTTGGACCGCCGGTATCCTCTCGAAGCTAAAATCATCGAGAATCAGGTACTGTCCTTCGTCGTTCCACTTCGATAAGTCCACCATCCCATTCCAATACGTATGCGGGCCGAGAACGGCTGATATCTTCAGCCTTTTTTTTAAGAGAAATAATAATAATTTTGGATTAGAAATTTTTTGTGTTGAGAATATAGTAATTTATTTTAAGGGTGGTGATGAGTGGTGGCGATAACCACCACCACCATTCTTGCGACACTTACCCGAATGAACTTTTAATATCGTCATCTCGTTTTCTTGCCTTTTTTTTATGGTGATTGATGATGACATTTTATTATTTTATAAAAATAAAGTTTTTTTATTTTTATTTTTTTGACGCGATTGATTTTTTTTTTTTGGAAAAACAATTTATTTTTGACAGATGACAAAGCATAGTGGAAATTCTTATTTATGTCACAATTTGATGATCACTGTGATAAATTTAATTTATGTTGCACGACGTAAATTCATAATTGTTTAAAGTACTCAAAATCAGGGCTGGCTGCGTAACCTCAAGGTTTAGTCAACATGACTTGACTAAAAGCGTTAAGTCAAGTTTAGTTTTTTTCATGCAATTTGACGTAATGACTTAACTTTAGTCACTGACTTAACTTTAGCCACTTGACTTAACTTTAGTCACTTGACTTAAGTCTGGCATAAAGGGGTTAAAATCCTAATTAGTAATGATTGACTTGACTTAATAATAATTATTATATAAATATTAATGACTAAATAGTTTAGTCAGTTTAGCCAAATGCTCACGCTCATTTAAACTCTTTACTTCTCCATACTTCTCAATGTTATATTTACATCATTATATATTCCATTGAATATATAACAACAACTTTTATTTTTTTACAAATTAATAAAATTAATAAAAACTATAACATTTACATTCACATATATATATTAATATATATATATATATATATATATATCGAATATCATTATCATTACCATCTCAAAATCATCATAGTGGATTTTTTTACATCATTGTTATCAGTAGCAACAGTAGTATTAGTATTAGTAGTAGCAGCAGCAATAAAAAAATTCTTATTAAAAAACTATGGCATTTTATAATGTGTAGGTATTATAATAAATAAATAATAAACTCATATTAACTAATATTAATATAAATATAAATAAACTTATTTACATAAGTTTTCATTGTTTTAGAGATGATGATATAGGTGTAAATATTGAACATCCTATTAATTTAGTTGAAGATACTACTACTACTACTACAAATATAATTAGAGGTGGACGACCTTCTTCAGATGTATGGCAATATTTTGAAAAAAATACATCTAAATCAAAAGGTCACTATACTGCAAAATGTAGATATTGCTTGAAATTTTGGAGAAGAGGAATTCCAGATAAATTAGAAGCACATCTTGCACTTAAATGTGAAAAAGTTGATAGAGAAATTTCTCAAATATATTTAAAAAAACTTGCAACTAAAAATTCAGTATCAGATGTTGAGTCTGAAGATAAAATGTCAATAAGTACAGCAACAAATTCAAGGAATTCCTCTAGCTCTAAAAAAAAAAGGAAAACCAATAATAATTTACATTCATATTATGAAAATACTAATTGCAATATTGAACAAAAACAAAAATTAGATCAGGCCTTGTTACGTGCATTTGTTGTATGTGGGATACCTTGGAATGTTGTATCTAACCCATTTTTTATGGATTTTATGAAGTTGGCTAAACCTGGATATGATCCAGCTACACGTAAAGAATTATCAGGTCAACTTCTTAATCAAGAAATTGCTAGAATTACTATTAAACTTAATAAACTTGTAAAAAGTGAAAGAAATATGACGTTGGGTAACGAAAATATATAATTTTTTATTAATTTATTTGTAAATTTCAAAATTTTTCTGTTAATATTATTTATTAATAATAGCCCTTGATGGTTGGACAACCCCGTCTGGTGGAGTATTGTATAGTTTTGTAATCCTCACACAAAGCAAAGAAGAATATTTATTCAAATTAAAAAATTATAGTATAGTGTCACAAACAGCTGATTTTTTGACTTCTGAAATCAAATCAATTTTAGAAGAAATTGGTCCTAACAATTTCTGTGGTTTGGTGACTGATCATGCATCCAACATCAGAGGTGCAAGAAAAAATATCTGCAATGCATTTCCACATATTTTCAACATTAGGTGCATTGCACATACAATTAACTTGATTGCTACTGATATGGCGAAAAATGAATTTGTGGCTGAAATAATTTCAAAAGTTGGAAAATTGGTGAGTTTTTTTAAAAAATCCCACATTGGAAATGCATTGCTCCATGAAGGTCTGAAATCAATGAATATATCTGGTGGCTTTCTTGTGTCATATTCCAAGATACGCTGGGGGTCATTGTTTGATACAACAAATTCTGTCTTAATATCCCAACCAGTTTTTGCAAAGGTATTTTATCTTATTTTATCTTATCTTATTTTATTTACTTAATTTATAAACAATAACTCATAATTATTATTAAAAAAAGATTCTTGAGGAAAATAGGAGTGTGGTTACAAATAGAGATGTTGCAGCATTAATGTCTAATCAAGGATTTTTTTATGATGTACGAATTATTTCACAAATTTTTAAACCAATCAAACAAATCATTCATTGCCTTGAACGAAGAAGTGCCAATCTTTCAGATTGTTTTTTAGGATTTGTGTATCTTGCTTTGGCAATTAAACAATTACCAAACAATATGAATTTACAATCAGAAATTATTAAAATTTTCAACTCCAGATTTAACTCTTTTGAAATTGACCTTTATCTGCTTGCTTACTTTTTGCATCCAAAACATAAAGGTAATATTATCTATAAAATATATTATATTTATAATGATTTAAATAATGATAATTAATCACCCTATATATTTATAGGGTATGCCATGAAACAAGGAAATTTTCGTCGAATATGTGATATTGCTGTTTCATATGTTTCAAGGTTAGGTTTCACAGATATAGCTGTTAGCCAACTCATCATGCAAATGCGTTCATTTAAGGATGGTTTATACCCTTATGATTTTATATTTAATGTTAACGATCCTATTACATGGTGGACAACAATTGAAGATAATCACAATTATTTGCAACAACTTGCAATTAAATTGTTTTCAATAGTACCTTCTCAGGCAAGTTGTGAGAGAACATTCTCAATACTTAAATGGATCCATGGGTTGAATAGAAACTCTTTGTCAAGTGACAACTTGGAATCCATGGCAATAATCCGATCATATCTTATCTCAGATATTGAGAAAACCATGTTTTATGTACCAAAAAAAAATAATGATATTGATTTTTCTAGTGTGGCTAACTCAGAAACAGTCATCGATGGATTGGATCTCGAAGAAGAGGAATCATTTACATCACTTGAATTAGAAGAGGATCTATCTGATGTTTCTGATAACAACATTGATAATAATAATTTATCAATTGAATCAATAATTGATTTATCAGTATTAATTTCAGGCAGTGATATTTCAGCCCAAGATATAACTAGTGATATAACTAGTCCATTTGCAGAAGGTATAACTGATTATAATCCTCATGAATTAGTTGCTAATTTGGTGACAGAGGATGAATAAATTTAAATCCGACTTAATATTGACAAGTTGTTGTTTTTAATTTTTTTAATTGTAATATAATGGTATAGTCTTTTTTAATATTATTAATTGGAGTTATATTTTGTTTTGTAATACAAATTTTCAATTTATAATAAAAACACATTTATTATCATTATTATCATTACATTATAATTAAAAATGTAACGGGATAAATAATCAAGACAATCATTACTATATTAGGGTTTTACACTTTCGTCAACTGACGAAACTTTAGTCACTAGTTTCGGTTTTGCCAAACGTGACTAAACCGAAATTAAATTGACTAAAGTTTCGTCAAATTGAGTTAGAGTTACGCAGCCAGCCCTGCTCAAAATACGTCAGGTGTTGTTATGGGTAACACCATTCATTAAACAACTATTTTTTAAAAAAATTACAGTTCACTCTCTCTATAACGGCCCGTCTGATTTGGCAAAAAAAGGCCGTTATAGAGAGAGACCGTTATAGAGAGTTTGCTGATCATAGTCATGTGATAAATTATAATGCGATACAATATATTTTTTATACGATAAAATATTTAAAAAATAAATGAAATAAATGAAAATAAACTATTTATAATTTGCATATTTATCCAATATTAAAAAAGTTATCTAGTGTGGATTATTGTTGTGGGTTAAAATCAATTTTTTTAATTTTTCTTTTAAGACTTTTCAATAATTTAAAATCATCCTCATTTAATTCTGATTGCTGGTCAATGTAAATTTCTAATGTTTTTATTCCTGGCAAGGCTTCTTTATTTGTAACAGGTGGAAGTTCTTCAATTATTTCTTCCTGGCTTTCATTTTCTTCTGGTGGATTAATTATTGTAATTATGTCATTTAGATTTATTCATCACTTACATGAGAGTCATCAATTTCAATG